ACCAAAATTACGACTGTTTAGATCATAGATGTCCCTCATATGAGCCGATAGCTTGCATGATCAACTAAAAACGTAGTGTTAGTCGACCCTTCATGAAGCCAACTCAAAAAAATAGAGGCACCCAAACTTAGTGAAACTAAGTGTCGCCGCTAAGCATGTTCTAATCAATAATTTATATGATTAGCTAGGGGACGTTTAGAAGTTGACTCGACTAACTCTGATTCAAGAGCTCACCCTCACTTACATAAATCCAAGATCTAGAAACCCCAGGTCATTATGAAGGTGGTATAGATGCCAGAACAATCAATAGACGATTCACAACTCAAGGTTTGGTCGACTCGGAATAACAACTGGAAGAATAATTCAAGACAAATAGTAATTGACAGATCACAATTCATAACAAATTGTAAAGTAATCAAAAAGTGTCCTTTTATTTATCTTTCAAAAATATTTACAAGTGTTAGTACTTACAAGACAGCCCAAGGCCATACACAATCCTAAGTTGAAGAACGAAGCCTAGGAGATCCATGCCAGCTCCTGGAGTCAGAGGCAAGAAAGTGTTGGTGGTGGGTGGTGAACGATTCGAGGACGTTCCTCGCTCGGCCTCGTTACTCCTCTTCTGGCCCGAGCCCTCACCAGTCTCCCTGGCCAAACCCTCACCTCCTGTATCGGCCCTTTCGACGGGGCCCTCGTGACCTCCTCATTTGACCTTTCATCCTCGCCTTCCTCACCCATTTCAAGCCCCCCACCTTGGTTTTCTATCTCTAGGAGCGAGTCCAAACAACTGGTGATTCATGGAGGATAGTGGAAGCAATTGGACACACTCCTCATCTTGGCTGGGAGTTGAACCTTGAGGTAGGCGAACTCGGCCTTGCAGGCGATCAGCACCTCTACTTTGTTAAAAAGGCTTTAGTGATACTCCTCCATAACCTTAGATCGATAGGCCTCTGACTCCAGATAGGCAATCTGACACTGGGCTTCAACTAGGGACATCTCGCGACGATCTCTCTCCTCTTAGAGCCTTGTTTGGGCTAGTTTCGCCTCCTCAAGCTTACCCCTGGCGTGTTGGGCAGCTTGACGCTCAACCTCAACCTACACCGGAGCACGGTCCTTATCCTGTTACCCCTACATGACTTGCTCGGATAAGTGCCTTGCCTTCCTATTTTTCTCTTGAAGCTTGCGCTTGAGGCTATCGATGTTAGAGGATTTTTTGGCGTTTGAGGACTTCAAACCCTTGATCATCTGCTCACACACCTCCATCTCACGACACCAAACGTCCAACTCCTACTACTTTGCTAATAGTTCCCTGAGGGGTTCATCGAGTTCACCCTTCACGTTAGCTTGGCAAGCCTCCACCTCCCCTTGGAGTTTGAGGAAAGATGTTCCATCTTCTCCATTCAGCCACAGTGTTCCATGAGAGCCCCACGATTTAACTCTGAAGGACTTGGAGGAGGCCAATAGTGGGAACTTCCTCCAGAATCTCCATGTCGTGGGGTAATCAGAATTACTCCACCGTAACCGATTGGGCAACTCGGGACCAAGGACCGACCCCCTCGTGTCGAGATGACGGGCAGGCTGGTGTTGATGCTCCAGAGAGGGTTCCCTTGTATATTAAGGGCCGACGCGTAAGGACTTGATCAGCAGCGTCCTCATCCTCTCCTAAGCCTCTGTATCGATCTCACTGACTCAATGAGGATAAGGATACTCAAAACTTGAAGGAACTGCGTCCTCCATGACTAACTCTTTTCCTTGGCAGCGAGTACGTTCAGCATGACAATAGGAGACTTCTCCTCCCTTGCATGAGCCTCGGTCCCGGCTCTAGCCTCTTGGTTGGCGCCTTCCTCCTCTTCCTGAGCCGAGGACCCCTCATCCAGGTGGATGACTTCGACCTCGACTGCCTTGGCTGCCCATCAACGATTTTAGCCACTAACCTTCCAGGACATCCTCCTCGCTCTCTCAGCATGAGCCGTTGAGGGTGCTGGCCTTGTCGATCCGGCTAACGTGGCGGCAACTTGAGCGTGATCCCCCGTAGTCTCCCTAGGGACTAATTCTTGGCGTAGGCATTTCGTTGGCCTCGCCGGTGGTTCTTCCTGAGGCTTGACAGGTAGAGCTGTCGACACCCTCCCAACCTCCTCTTTAGGGACGATTAGCTGGGCTACCCTCTCTTGGTCCCTCACCGTAGGTGGCTCGGCGGATATGCCAGCAACTCTCAAGACAGAGTTGTCAAGTAGATGTTCCATCTTACGAGAGCCAGTATATCCCTTAATCAAATCTAGGGTTTGCTTCTCCGCATCCGATTGTCTCCTCGCCGTTAAGAGTCTTCCTTATTATCTCGGGCTAATGGGAGTAGCCCAAGTCCGAGTCGTCTCTTACAATTTAGACGAACTTCTCCTTCCAATATTTATTCGAGTCAGGAAGGTCAAGGACGATCTTGAACTTTACCACCACCTAAAAGCGCTAATGGGCTTTTTTTTGATGCACTTTAACACCAATCAGATGCTCCAACACATTCAAGGACGGCTCAACCACCAGCTAACTACAGATCACCACGTACGCCCACAAACATAGTGATGGCATTCAACTTCATCTACATCAGTGACACCCCCAGAGCGGTGAATGCACAACGGAGGAAGGGGTGCAGAGGCAGGTGCAGGCTAAACTCTAGATTCTTCAGATAGA